AGTCACGTTCATCCCAAGTGAAGGCAGTGAAGATGAATCTGCTGCCCTGTGCAGCCGTCTGTCATGGAAGATTTCACACTACCTACAGCTGCAGGAGAAGAGAAGGGTGCACGGGTGCTCCTGGTCTGCCAGCCCAGCCCAAATCAATCCCTTCCAGAGGTGTGACAGTGTTTTGAATTTAAGGCAACCTATAGGTGATGGTCTGTTTCTGAAGGACGGTAAATGAGAACAAGATTTCCCATTAATAATGTCTCTGGGTAGAAACTGGTAGAAATCAGTTGTATGCAACACGTGTCCGTGATACAGGGGAAAACTTAAAAACAATATTTAAGTAGCTTTTAAATAGAGATGGTTTGAAGGAAAATACTGAATTTCTCATTGCCATCCATCTGTGCTCTTTGAACAAAAGAGGCAGAAGGAAAAGAGAAGGTTTCTGTACACAGAAATCTTTCCGAGCACAAGAGTGGCACCGCATTAGGAGCACAGTGGAAATTTTTAAAGCTTTGCTGATCGTCATTCTGTTCTTTAAGGAACAAAACATATTAATAACACTGGGCATTCAGGATAACGATCCTGGTTCCCCCTGTATCAGTCGTGACATCCACCAGCGTGTATCAGTTCTTCTTCTTTATGCACTGCTCTCCTTCCCTATGGTTGGCAGTGTTAATGGGAAAATGTACCCGTAGCAGAAAAAATAGTAAATGGTTACAGGTGTAATGTACTGTCCTTTCCCCACAGACAGTGCTAACAAGTTAGCACTGAGATCTATCTTCATCCTTATTGAGGGTCCACCTCCTGGAGGAGGAGGTGCCTGGCATCACATAAAATTGGGCTCCAGAGTTACACTTCACGGGGCTTTTACAGTGAGAAACACTCAGATCACAGCAGTAACCTAGCAGAGAATTTTTTAATGTCGGATTCTTTCAGGTTGGAGTTAGAAATAAATGAATATCCTTGATAGCTGTGAAACTTTAAATATCTTGCTGTGTTGTCATTGATAAAATACTGAAATACAGGAGCATGAACAAGGAAAACAATATTTGGTTATTGCTGATGAACATGGAAAAAGAGCATAGTCCAATGAAGCTGTAGTGAGCACTGCCTAGTTTGGTAAGAAGTAGTTTAATTCCCACTACATTTTATCAGGGAAAAAAGGTTCTGCTGTACCTGAAGGATTGGGGAGCGAGGTTTTCTGAAGTATCATCAGAGTGTATAGGAAAACTTGGCCAAATGGGCCACACAGCCAGACTGAAAACTGAGTACTTTCAGACTGAAAGTAAAACCGTATTTTCAAGAGAATGAAGCATCACTGCACTGGAGAGAGACACTGGTTTTTGCTTCACTGTGTTCCTCTTGTCTGTAGTATCAAAATTAAGAGCCATATTACAGCAACTGCCTGCAGGAGTGCCCTTGTCTTTTATGTTTGGTTCAGAGGAAGCTCCTTGAAGAAGCAATGAATGACAGGATGGTAAACACTGAGTCTTACTTACTCTAGCACTTACCCTGCTTTTACTAGCAATGGAGCCATACTGGTATGAGCACAGCATGGATGCTCTTTTTTTAGCGTAGGCCAGCCTGGTACTGCATTTTCTGTAAGCAGATTTCACAGAACAGATCTGTGTTGAACTCATGGGTGCATGCTGGCTATTCCTCCTTCAATGCAGCCTTCTCTTTTTTACGACAGCAGCAGGGTCAGCAGAGAGGGGCGTCAGATATCTCCTTCACTATTGATGCAAACAAGCAACAAAGGCAGCTGATTGCAGAGCTTGAAAATAAAAACCGGTAAGCATCCACAAAAAGTACCTGGTTTTGTTTAGTCCCATATATTGTGTACATTTGTTTGTTTCTTAACATCTTTTACTACCCATTTCTGTGCAATGTGCTTACACATGCACATACCTCCCCCTACAAAAAGCACAGGACTCAAAAAGGTCCACAGAATATGACAAAGGCTTTGAAATCTACAGCCTTTGAATCCCTGTGTTTTAATGAGTGTACTGTTCAATGACGTGATATAATCATTTATACTTTACTGTTTGCAGCTGCTGTTTGTTAAGAGTTAAAAAAACAAAGCCTGTCCTGTTTCAAAACCAGATTAACTTTGAGTTGGATCCTCTGCAGCACTATAGCGTGAAATGATAAAAGGATCAGTCACACTGCTAATGTTATGCTCTCCTGCTTTTGTTTGTGAAAAAGATGATTAAAGCTCTCCAGAACACAGTCTGCCTGGGAAAGGTTTGCAGAAAGGTTAGCAGCAAGTTAGGCTGCTGATCAAATGAGACACTAGGTACGGATGTGACCGAGACCGAAAGTGTCCAGAAGAAATAGGCCAGCTGGCCCCAAAAAGGAGTGATGCCCGTTTGTTAGCAGCAGAGGATCTGGCCCTGGGTATCAGACTGCCTGATGCCATGAAATGTATGGCAGCAGAGCTCTGCTTTTACTGCCGGACTGTAAAACAGAGGCCAGCCCAGACCAGATGGTTTCCTATGGCAAACTCTGCACTGCCTTCTGTCACCGTGTAATGAGCCACCAGCTCCAGTCTCGATTTGTCTTTCATAGTTCGAGGCTGCCTCCTGACCGTCTGCTATCCAGCACGTTGTGAAGAAGGGACAAAATACACAAAGGTTTCAACCTTCTGCTGCGAAGCTTTGCATTAGCCTTTTGCCAGCGCTCCAGGGCTGACAAGCCAGTCGTAACAAGTCCTATTAAATTGCTTCTCCATGAATTGTTGACCGCTCTCACATCTCTGCTTACACTAAAAGTATTTTTTTAAGTGCTGAATATTTTCTCTGACACTCAAGAAGGGCCAGATAGGTTATTTTAATTTTTGTTAAGTTCATGGGGTGCTTGAAATGTTCATGGGAAAGAATTAGAAGGGAACAACTTAATTACGCATAGAGCTATTTCATGTCTACCTCTGATTTTTGGGGGTCTTGAAGAAATATTTCCCTTTATGGTGAAATACTAAAAATTTATTTAAAAAATATCCAGAGCCCTCTCCCATTGCTGAGGGCTTCTTTTGTTGGTTGGAGCCCAGTCATTATATCTACGTTGATGAAGAGCTACATATAATCATACTTTTTCTCCTCTTGCAATGTCCAGTGAGCTGGTTTTGTGGAAAATTACTGACTTGTAGTCTTCTGCTTATTCTCCTCCCCAAGAGAAATCCTACAGGAGATCCAGAGGCTGCGACTTGAACATGAGCAAGCGTCTCAACCCACACCGGAGAAGGCACAACAAAATCCCACTCTCCTTGCAGAGCTCCGGCTCCTGAGGTAAGTCCGCAGCGGTAAAACCTCCGGCCGTGACTGGGACCAGCCAGTCATTCTCAATAAGAGAAGAAATAAGAGAAGCCTGGCTTACGGTTTTGGGGGCTTTTTAAAGTAAATAACACAATGTGTATTTTTTCTCCGTTTTCGGTGCAGGCTGTAGTCCTAGAAGTAATTAAGCTTATGCTTTAAGCAGCATGCATGAGGAATCTCACATATTATTCATCTACATTAAATTAAGCATGTGCATTAGTGTTTGCAGAGTTAGGCCCTTAGGTCGTTTGGAATAGGTCCCCACAGCCTGGTCCAAATGCCGTTAATTATATGGGGAAAAATGTCGTTCTGTCAGAACAAATGCTTCTACAAAGACTTCTCGTTTATGCTAAAGTAAATACAGAGCTACATGAAAATACAGCCAGAATTAGACGTTAATTTTTGGAAATTTCCCCCATGTGTTGAATGCTAAGGAGAGGTCAGTTCTGTTCATGGTGCAAAACCAGGCTGCAGAATGATCCTCCTTGTCACGTGGGAAGTGAGGAGTAATGTCATCTGCAGCTGCTGAAGATTTAGAGGATCATTTCTCCAATTATCCCACCAAGCTAAAAACATTGATATGGATGTGTCTGCATGTTAATTAGGATACTCTACATGGATTTACTAATTGCCATGTATATCACATTGAAGAAGAACAATTGTCATTGGCCCAGATCCGTAGGCTCCCTGCAAGTCCTGAAATTCATGCTGTGAGAGCCAAACAGAGAATCCAATAAGAACTATTCAAAACTCTTCATGTGAGTAGAGAATAGAGTGTAACACACTTTCTTTCTGGTGAAACAATGCTAGATTAAATTTTACCACCCCCCCCCGCCCCGAGCAGTTCTCTCATGAGAAGACTAACGAATATTTTTGGCCACTTAGCTGCTCCTCACACAAGTAATATTTTAGTGGTCTGATTCATAACCAAAGGAAATTACTGTAAGAAATTGCGCTAAATTTTTTCTTTACAAATACTGTATAGTTTTATTATTGAGTTTTCCACACTAAAATATTTTTCTGTTTCACAAATAATTACATTTGCTTTCCAATCTGAAGACAAATTAGCTTCTTCATTTCTGTGAGGGATTTTAGTATATAATTACTTCTAGATTTCTACAGGCAAGTGACATTCTGAGACATATAAAACTGACTGTGATGAAAATGTGTACACTGCATAAAATATACCAATAATCTAGCTCCTGTGCATCAAGCCTAAAGTCTATTTTAAGCAGGTTTAGGAGATTAGCTTTCTATGTAGTTGACAAATAAATTCATTATCCTTAAAAAAAAGTCAAATGATTGTGCAGTGTTAGCGGACTGACTACTTAATTTTTCCCTCTTTTCAATTTTGCTACGCATATTAAAAGCGTAATATCCTTATTTGAATTTCCTGACACAGGATATCCCTAGGGCAGTGAGGCTGAGTTCCTCAGTTATGATATCTTTTCTGATTTCATATGCAATGTCAGAGTCAGAAAATAACTTCTAATCTGTGTGTCTGTGCTGCTTTGCATACCGTCTAAAATGTTCACCATTTGAAAGGCAAAAGATTGGCTTTTGATTTACTGTGGTATTTCGACACCACCTCAAATTCCTAGACACTTAAGATGTCACGAGGCTCTTCTTACCATGTGTAAAACAGCCAGACTCAGAACAGCAGCACTGATTTACATTTGTTACTCCACAGATTTTGGGGGCTTGAAGCAATTAGGGCAGTAGGGCAATGTAGTTCATATAATATTAAGAAATGCTGGAATCTGTAAATTATGTTGTGAGTACCTGTCCCAGCATCTTTCACTAGCTACTGTAGTGTTGCAGACTCGCTAAAATGAGGTTCTGAACACAGCATTCCTTCACATTACCAGTGCTGTCTTGGAGACAGGCTGGAAAGCCCATTACTTCCAAGAACTTGCGCTGGAGTACAGCGGGAGAAAAAAGTCAGAGGAGCAGTCTGTACATTACATGCTGCTTAGATCCTCTCTCCCCGTAGAACGAATCTAAAACCCAGCAGAGGTCTGTGCTAGAACCTGCCACTTTGAATTACATGGCTGGAGTATCTTATTTTTATTAGCAGTTTCTTAAACTCAGTTGCCTTTGTACAGTTCATAGCATTTCCAACCATTACATGCCTGGAAAAGAAAAGCCAGCACAGGCAATTTGTAGCAGAAAATAGATTAGTCCTCCGGAACAGTAAATACAACCTGGCAGTGTTACTGTACGATCCTATTATATAGGTGAGAGATAGCACACGTGAGCAATCCTATAGAAATCAGTGTTGCTTATATCAGTCACTGCTCACTTACAGAGAAGGCTCAAAATCAGGGTTTCATATTTCCCTCAATATAGGAAATGTACTTAGTCTTGTTGGCTCTGGTGCTTTTCCGTTTAGAATTAAATTGTCATATTTTGTAGGTAGTACAAGGCTAACAACATAGTGGTTTTATGTTATTTGCAACACAGTAGTGTATAAAATATACCTAATATGTATATTTTTCAACAATAATGTTGTTAATTACATCATAGCTTCCAGGAGGCAACAATTTTATTTTGTATTTATGCCGGGACCTCTCATACAATTTAGTGATTGAACATGTGCAAGTGCTGAACAGCCGTCCTGTGCAGTGGAGCTGTGCGGAATGAAAGCTGTTCCCATTTATGTGGGCACAAACTGGCTGTCACACTTGGAGTGGCTCCGTATTCACACTGTCACAGAACCAGCACTGGACTCTGAGTCCAAAGAGCTATTTTCAAGGAGTTATATCTCCACTTTGTGATAGTGTTGGGGACGAGTGATTTAAATCACTTAAAGAGTCACCATCAAAGGTATTAGCGAAAGTGGTTTTAATATGATGTTGTAAAAGTGCGACTTAACAAAGTTCAATGGCAAGGTTCAGTCTGTCACTTACTACATGGATGAAACATACAAAGGAAAATGGAGTTAGAATCAAGCTAGAATGATTTATACAGAGACTGAAGATGCAAAAGGGTGAGGGAGTCCCTCCCATTGAGTCACGAGATTCAGAGAAGACCCTCTTGCTTCCTAATCTCCTGATGGAGCTTAGGTGCGGCTGGATCCACTCCTAGTCCCAGACTTGGTGAATGGTTTATGCTTAAGGGATATGTGTTTGGTAGCAGTTTAAGATTCATTCACAGTTTAAGGTGGATCACAAGATTTTAGCAGCACTTAATCATTGACTAATTTAACATTTACAAAGTGAGTCAATAGAATTTACTACAATCACAACAGTGACTTAATTACAGATTTGAGATGGTAATATTTATACTATACTTGCCAAAGTCACTTTGCACACGCAACGCACACAAAGACACATAAATGTACGAAGGTATACCTGTTAAAAATTCCCCTCGAGTTCAGTGAAATATTCACTTCAAATGTCTCAGCATTTCTCAACGGGCGAGGGTTGAGCAGCCTCAAGGAGTGAAGGGTTTTGGCCCAGGTCCCGTTGTCAGCTTTCGGCGATGGTCCTCTGAATTTTGCAAACTGGAGAGTTGGGGAGCTCTGAGAGGCGTTCCACTCGGAGGAGGTGCTGGTCGCAGCCCGCTGCGGTCCAGGAGAGCTCCAAGGGGCTCACTTGGGACCGCTGTTCATAGGGTCGCAAGATGATTGGCTTTAGTCATCCGTAAATTTCCATCCTGGCCACAATCCGGGTCAGTAACTACTGGAGTTCTCAAAATACCAGTAACAATGGTACCGTTCCACTCCAGCTACGATCCAGGTAAGGAATGTTCCAAGGCTGTCAGGGGATGACGAATTATTCCCGCTCGCTCTCCCCACCTTGGCCAGGGCAGCAGGGGTTCCTGGTTCGGTCAGTGCCGCTCCCCACCTCAGCCATGCGAGAGTTCCTGGTGTGGTCAAGGGATGCTCAGCCGCCCAGCTCCTTACACAAAGGCCAAGGCCTAACGGGAGTTCCTGAGGTCGTAGAGCGGCCCAGGGGAAGGGGGTGGAAATGCACCATCACAGATAGTCTTACTCTTGCTTCCAGAAAAAAATAGAAACAAAAGCAGATCGCTGTGGCTTCCTGGCTGAATTTCTGAACTCCCTTAGCTTCTCGCATGTCTCGCCCTGTTTAGTGCCCCTGCTGTAATTTCCTGTCCTTCAGGGCATGGCTTTAATTCCTCCTGACAGGCAGTGAGGTTATTGACTAGAGACATCCAAAGACAAAAATTGCCAGGCAATTTTTATATTTATATTCCCGCAAGGAATGTTATATTCCCGCAAGGGAATATAACACAAATTTGTTTGAACTTCATTTGTTCTTTGCAGAAGGGTCTGTGTCAGTGTCTGTCTTTTTCCTAATCACTATGTTTAGTCCCATGAATATTCTCAATATGAGGGAGCTCCCTAGCTTTCACGTAGCCCCGTTTCGAAGCACTATGCTGAATTCATACAGTGTATTTGCTTTCCTGCAGTCTATAGGCATATACCTCATAGTTGGGCTGGGGAAACGATGCAGTTAAAAGCTGCTGATGCTGTGAGGGGTAAGCTTTGATCGGATCTGCTTGTTTCTCAGACAGCGGAAGGACGAGCTGGAACAGAGGATGTCTGCTCTCCAGGAAAGCCGGAGGGAGCTTATGGTGCAGTTAGAAGGCCTCATGAAACTGCTGAAGGTAAGGAGTTCCACCTGATACTACTAAGGAGAACAGGCAGAGCGAAGCAAGAGAGAAGAGGGAGGAGATATGACCACAGAATTCTGCAGAACTTGACTATTTCCAACCATAAAATTTTGCTTTGTTTCCTTCCCTGTCCATTTTCTGCCTTGGTCTTTCAATTCAGGGGTTTCAAATGATGCTCAGATGATGATGTTCCGGTAGTAACACTGCATCATCATTGTTACCTACTGCTAAGTGGATGGAACATCAGAGACAGGCTCTGAACTATTGAAGAATTAGTACAATCCTTTAAACGGTACTGCAGCGTGATGCAATACAGTCCTGTTTTGCTCTTTTGTAGAAGGATTTGGCCGCATCTCTGAATTTCAGGCTAGCAATCTCTGGATCGGCCATTCGACAATGTCCAAATACAAAATATTTTGTGATCCAGTTTCAGGTGGTTTTAGAGTTTTCTGTGTTCACATCAAATAATAAAAAAAAAAAAGAAAAGAAAAGAAACAAGTAGGCACATAAAACAAGTTAACTAATAACTGTGAGAAAAACAACTCAGCACTGTACACTATTACCTACTCCAGCTGACAGTACAGAATTGCTGTTGCTAGTTCCTTTAACTTTGCCCATTCAATTGCTAGTTCTGTCAGACATGCCATTTGGCAACCAAATCTAACTCTCTGATCTTAGAGATGCTTCCCCAGCAACACTTGGTCATTTTCATAAATACAGAAACAAGCCCTTGTTAAACAGAAGAAATGTGTCTCAATGAAGGATCTCATAAAAATGAAGATATCAAAAAGCATGCGCATTTTTAAGACAGACTAGGGTAAGATGGAAAATGGGTCTTTATTTGCAGAGTCCAGCCCTATTTTACCTGATGGGCCTCAGGACAGTTGATGCCAGAAATTCACATTGGAATAAAGTTCTCTGAATAGCATAAGAGTCTGTTCTGTTGTTGGCCATGCCAGATAAAATGAGTGCATGGAAATTCAGTGCAACTTGGGTCAAATATGGCTCTGATAAAAGCGGAAAGAATTTCACTGAAATCCATTTGGCAACATGTATTTGCATCAAAGGATGAGTTTGACCCCTTATGTCATTTGCATCTGCTCAGGTACAGGCTTCTGCAGCCACAATGCAGGAATTGGTGGCACCTGAGCAGCAGAGCTCACCGAGTAGCCAGCAGATTTTTGGGAGCTGGAAGTAGACAGTATACTTTTCGCTCTACCTATGAAATGCTGCAGTGCTACAACTAGCAGTCAGGGCTGCCTGCTGCCATTGCACTGCCTGAACAAAGAGAATATGGGGTAGGAAATGATAGTAGCTTTCTGCATGCTTTGCGCTGTTCTGGTGTTTCAAAGTGTGCAGAGGTGGGACCATAACCTGGTCACATACCTTTAACTATCTCGACTGTACCTTTAATCCTGTACTCCAATTTTGGCTTTGTTTTCTGTTCTTCACTTACATCCTGGCTAATGTCATGTGCTGATCCTCTTTTTCTTTAGGAAGAAGAATTGAAACAGGTAGTAAGTCATCTCCTTATCGGAGGCCTCACTAACTTCTAAATATGATTGTGTTCCTGTGATTTACTTTACTTCCTTTGCTTGAAATGTGTGCGTCTTCCTTTGACCAAAATTAATATTTTGCACTTCTTTCACACATTATTTTCAAGTATCTTGGAGCAATTTTCACAATTAAACATCTTAGCCCTCTAGAAAGTGAGTCATGGCTACAAGGAGTCTTGATCTTTTTCTCACTTCTCTAAATAAGAACACGTAAGATATGGAAATCACCACCCAAATGTAGTGAAACCAACCTAGAGTATGAATTAAAGAACACTTCTACCATAGATAACATTTTGAAAATGTAATGAGAATTTTGGAACTTTAAGAAAAACATAACTGCGGTTAAATTAGAGCAGGACAAGAGTTTGAAATCCCACTTTATCCAGAAGAAGTCAGGGCATCGTGTGCACATCTTTTAAAGTCGGCACTGATGCTAACAGTCCTGTAAGTCTTCAGGAAAATAATGTAGTTTCTAAATGGCTTCTGCAACCTAGATCAAAAAGGGCAAGTATTTATATTACTAATGGTAAATTTTAGAAGATTTAATTGCCTTGGAGCTTTTTAGTATTGAAATGGATCTTGGAAAGATATTAGGCTAAAAAATAGCACTTTTCAGACAGCAATCTGATTTATGAGTCCGATAAAAATGTTTCATTTTAACAAAACACACTTCCTCTTGCTTTCATCAGCAGAAGTACAGCCACAAGTCTGATGTGTTCTGTCTATGGTAGAGCATGCAGAGTTTGTAGGTAATGCTCACCTTCATAAAACTAACGTTTTGGCTAATTTTTGTAGAACATCAATCTGTTGCACACAAAAAAAAATATTCTGACCAAACATCACCTCTATGTAAGGGCTGTCTGGTTTTTATTCTGCAGTATTAGAAGATCTTCCATTCGCAAAAGAGAAGTTTCCAGCCTGACAAGAGTTTCCCTATCATATAAAATGTTCACTGGACAGTATAAGTGAAAGCACATTTTCAGGCTGTTATGAGATACGATTTTTTTCTTCCGAGAGTAATAGCCTCGCTGAATACTAGGTGATGATGCTAAGGAATTACTCTCACAATTTCCATTAGATGATCCCCATTATGCTATGCCATTTCATGATCTGTTGAGAGAAACAGGATTAAATTAATTTCTGGAGGAATTCAATTGGAATGAGCAGCCGGGCAATTCATCTAATGCTTATGAACTTTCTATTTCTCTACTGCCCTTCCTTGAGAAAGGATAATGAGTTCTTCACATCTGTGTCGTTTGATGAGGCTGTGAGACAGGCTTTCCCCGTATGTCATCCCGGTTCAGTTCCGGCAGAGGGAGCAATGGGCTAAAGCTCCTGTAACGCCAGTTTTCCTTTCAAGCATTTTATCCTACGCATGCATGACACTTGATAGTGGGAAATCTTTTCCTGTCTAGCAAGAGTTAACTTAAAATCCATAGCAGGTTGACTAGGGATGGTGAATTAAATAAAATACATGAAAGTTTTCCTAAATGGCACGAGAACATTGATAGCTGCAACCAAGTACAACATAAAAGCTGAAGCCATCCACATATCCGTGGTGGCTGTGGTAACTCCCCTTTCAGCATGCCTCAGTCCTCAGCTGGTGGGGCTGCAGAGGTTTGGAAGCAATTCGGTGTTCAATTTCTCTGCTTACCAAGATTACCAAGAAGTCACTACTGATTATCATATCACTTTTCAGGCTGTTAGCTCTAGCCTGTGAAAACCGCGTTTCTCCTGCTAACCACTATGCAGGAATCCAATCCTAATAGCACTCCATTCCCACAAACTTGGGCTGAGGTGGATCTAGGTGAGTAAAATATCATTAAAGTGTTCACCTCTGAAATCAGGCATTCCCTAATATCCTCCTATTTCAGCTTGCTGTTGATCAGTTCTGTCTGATACTGCCCAAAGAGATAAAAAGAGAGGAGTTTTTTACTGGACGGGGGCTCCAAATGCTTCATCTCCCTGTGCTTCCCAAACAGTTTGTTCCAACACTGAAAGCTACAGATAAGAGAGCACTGTGTATCATAAACACACGATCTCAGTCATAGCTGCAAAGCAGACAAAAGGGTAAGCACTGGTGTGCAGCAGCTTTTACATTTCTCTTGTGGGAAAATTCCAGGAAAGAAGTACTGGCAGGCATCTGTTATTTTTAGTAAATAAAATGCCTATTCTGAAGTTCATTCCTTAAATGTGACTTGTCTACAGGAAGCAAATTTTGTCCATTTTTTTCTCATCCTCTCTGAAAGTTCCCACTGTTTTTGGTGTTCCCCAGAACCAAGATCAAAGGCAAAGGGGAGCTGAGGAAAAAGGGCAAGCGAAAGAGGGAGCTGGGAACCAGAAATTCTTTCGCAAATTTGATTCATAGAGGGTGAAACATCCCCAGTCGGGACATGAAAGGAGATAGCTGTAGCTCCCAGATCTCCCACCTGGTGTGCAGGGGGGTGCGACCTCCAAGGACCTTGGAGCATCTCCAGGTTGCTCTGTGCCCTGCCTCTGGAGGACTAGAGATCTGCGTTTCTGCTGGAGTGGGTACAGACAATTCCAGAAACAGGAGAGCATCTGGCCCTTATGTATTCGACTTCCCTTTCATCCATCATTTAAATGTTCTAAAACTGATCATTAAAGAAATTATAAGTATTAAATCCTCCATTCTCCCATCAGCAATGTGCTTATTCCTCATAAACCTAATTTGCCCTTGATGTCTCTCTGGTCATAATGTCTCTTAGAAAGGGGTGATAGGAGAAAAGAACTAATAGCTTAGTATTCTGATACATTATTTATGATCTGGGGCAGGAGTTTATAAAAATCTCAAGGGCAATGCTGCACTCCTCCTGCAATGGGCTGCTATTGTCTTTTTTAGAACATATTTGCCAAACCGTTTCAGGGCTGCAGTGGTAGCCACTACAGAAGTCAAAAGAAATGGCATGGGAAGAGTTAAGAAATCCTTCTGAATTCTCAAAATAAACCCAGGGTGAGGGAAACACTAGCCCTCAGGTTACTTTTCACTGTAAACAACCAGGCGCAAGTGTTGTAGTTCCCCTTTAACAGCAGTCAAGGCACCTCCGTCCTTGGCATCTACCAAACACAGGTTTTCAGTCAAAAGCCATGTGCAGTTTGGTGTGCGCTCCAGCATTTGTTTTTCCTTACATGGATACACGTTCCCAGAGGTTTTGAAACAGTAGATGAAAAGGGCACTGTGTCTCTTTATCACTCACTCAGCTGCGTTTGTAAAAATGACTATTTTGTAAAGTCTGCTTGAATTTCAACTAAGTGATACTAACTGTGAGGTGCTAACAGCATGGCATTTTATATGACTGGTGTTAAAACATTTTCACTTCCAGCAGCTGAACCCGTAGCTGGAATTTATGTTGCCCTATCCCCACAGTGTTTTGGGAGTGCCTGAGTATATCCTGGAGAGCGAACAATTTAATAGTGTATGATTTAATAGTGGCTTAAAATAGTTCTCTATCTCCGAATAAAAAGCATAAAGCTATATTATTTATTGCAAGTGTCAGACTTTATGTGACTGAGAGGTTGCATGTACCATGAACTTCTGCAGGGAGGGGGAGGGCAGGGTGATCCGCTCTCACGGCAGCGCTCTGATGAGAGGGGCCGTTTCAGTCCCTTGCCCAGGCTGAAAGGGACTCGGGCACCACGTCGGTGCCAGCATCTTTCCCCTTCTCACAGCCTGAACGGGTTATGTTTTATCAAACATGCATTTGAACTGGGGGGATAAGAGAGGCAAGAGGGCAGAGAGAAGGTCTATACTTTGGTGCTTATTAACTTGGATTTTTTTTAATTTAGCTGCCTGACATTTTCCCATGCTTAAAGGAAGTCAGATCTTGACTCATATTATCCTACTTAATATTTTTCTACACGGAAGCCTTGCTGTCCGCTAACAACTGACTTCAGTATATTTCTTTTAGCAAAATTAACGTTACCCAACTGATCTACAAACAGCATGACGCCTTTAAGCTGAGGGATGGGTGACAAGGACAGCAGGCGAGGGCTCTTGCAAAGACCTGTTTAACCCCTTGTGACTGTTTTGCAGACCCAAGGGGCAGGCTCCCCGCGTTCCTCACCCAGCCACACTATCAGTCGACCGATTCCAATGCCCATCAGGTCTGCCTCTGCCTGCTCCACCCCAACCCACGCACCTCAGGACTCTCTGACTGGGGTGGGAGGCGATGTGCAGGAAGCCTTCGCACAAAGTAAGTCTTATTACTAGCTTGTCTGAGGTACTCGGAGACGTATTTGAAGAATCGTTATCTCTTGTGGTTAATGACTAAATGAACTTGAGCTTCTGAGTTGCGTGCAATGAAACAAAACCAAAAAAAACCATTGGCAACAACTGTGTTTTGCCATTGAAAATCAACTTTGTCAGCCATCAGACTTTGCTGTCAGAGTGAGCAGGAAAGTAGAAACTGGACAATGATGCCAATTAATGGATTTTGTGGTTAGAGGGAATTTTGATGCACGAGGGTCAGACCAGTTATCAGTGCTCTGTTAACCAGAAGAAAAAGAACTGCTATTGACCTCAGCAAGGCATTGTCTGTGTGTTTGGTTTTAAATAAAGACTTTGATAGGAATAGATGATACAATCATAGAAATAGTTCAGGTGGAAAAGGCTCTTGTAAGTCACCATGTCCTCCTGTTCCAAGAAAGAGGGCTTCAAAGTGAGATCAGACCATTCAGGACCTTAACCAGTTGAGTTCTGAATGGTTCCTAGTATCCATTTTCCACAGCCTCTGTTCAAGTGTTCCACCATGCCTACTCCAGTGTTTGACCATGCTTACTGTGTAAATTTTTTGTCCTTGTATCTGATTGGAACATCCCTTGATGCAACTTGTGGCTGTTGTCCCTTGTCCTTTTGCTTTGGGCCGCTAAGAAGGGTCCAGCTAGACTAGACAGGAATTGCGTCTGGAAGTCTAGATGAATCCTTCCTTTGCCTTTCCAGAAAACTGCCATAGGCTGCACCGGGTTTCTCCCTCCTCTCTCCACTCTTTTGTCAAGTAACAATGAATTTTAAACTGTTTTGAATTTCTAAGACCACAGATTAAATGATTATGTTGAATACTAAAGAAAGTAAATAGTCTATGTGATCTAAATGAAGAAATATTCCTTCTTTTTCTAATCTGCTCTCTCCTAAAATATTTACATTACTGCAATTCTTTTATTTGAATATTTTTTTTCCCTGTTTCCCTAGAACAATTCAAATGTAAGTGGAGCTCTGGAGTTCCTCTGCTACAGTGGAAGTGTGTTTGTTCCCAGGAGCCCAGTTCAGCCCTCTCATGCACCCTTCCCCTTGATTTTTATGGGAATTGTGTCTGTGTGTGTATTTAAGACAAGGTTGAACCTATAATGCAATCAAGAACTTTCTGCTAAAGTGCTAGTCAATTCATGTATTGAACATAGGCATAATTCCTAGTCCCAACATAACAGGTTGCTGGATATCTCATTTTCTGTGGCAAAAGAAACAGGCAAGATATATTTTTCTTCTTTCTGCTGTGAAAAAAATTGAGACAGGCAAAAATATGGACCACTAACCCCTATGCTGTTATACGACAGTTTCTTCCAGAGCTAAGAGTAAGAGAAATAATGTAGTGGCCACAATAAAATATCCATAAATAATACTAAGGCTGCCTCAGGCAAATGCTTTTTAAGTATATAAATGTGTTCTGTTCAAGATAAAAAGCAATATAAAAAGGTAAGCGATCACATTTAAAAACTGCTGCATTTGATAAATATCTAGCTTTATGTCATTATTTACCATATTCTCTGGATGGGAAGGTCAAACCCAAAGAACTTGAAGCCAGCTATTCTGTCATGTCTTGACATACGACTTGGGGCGGGGGGCAGGGGGCTGGGCTGAGATTTTATGGCTCCGTTCTGTTCTGCACCAATAGAGATCTGCCTATATATACATAATGCAGACAAGCCATGGTTAAAGCACGGTTTCTCTTGTTTTTTTTTTTCTCTTTCATAGTGTTTGCAATAGTTCAGAGATACAAAATTGAGAAGACTTTAGACAGGGAGTGGCTGCCTGAATGTTTGTGTGTGTGAAAGAGAGAGATTAACTACTTTAATTTACATTCCAGTAACCATTTGCTAATGGATATATTAAAAAAACCTCTTTAGGATTTGGGGAACTTTTCTAAATTTATTGTTTTACATTCAGCCAGTTTTGAAGTATCTACAGCAGTCAAATCCTGCCAATTCCTGTGAATAATCCAGTCTGGAAGATTAGAGATTCTGTGGGATATATTGATTATTCAGCTACAATAGGAGCTATGTTTGGGATTTGGGGGAGTTAAACACGCGTTACCCACAGCCTGCTCCTAGGGAAGGAGTATTTCATGCAGCTCACAAGAATCTTTCATGATTGATGGTTAAGGGAATATTGCCAGGTTCAATTCAGCAGGGAAGCACTTCTAGATCCATTATTAGAAAGAGTTTAAAAGCAGCCTGGGGCTGTTTAGAATGGCAATAGTGCTTCCTTTATTAAAAAAAAAAAGAGAGAGAGAAAGTAAATTATGGAATATACAAGAAAGTCCTTGAGCTACAGGAGAGGCTGAGAGGGAGCAGAGAAGAAAAATCCGTATCAATCTTGATGAGGTCAAGTATGTTTCTTCAACATTTGCCATAATTATCTGGCAAATACCTGGCAATAATGGTGTCATTAAACAGAGCTGTGGGAACTTAGAGAAAACACTTCATTTCTTCCCTCCTCCCCCACCGACATTGTAAATGAGTTCACGCTGGATTTAATCTTCCAGGCCTGGTCTGCTGGTGTCACCACACAAATGCAAGCTTGATGGCAATGAATAATCTCCACATATCTGGCATTGTGATTAAATGAAGCATGAGGGTAGGCTTCTGCTCTTGCATACAGCATAAGTAAATGAGGCCATTCTGCAGAGAACTCTTCTGCACGTGTCCCTCGAAAGGGCTTTGATACCCTGAATTATCACAATGGCAGCTTTCAACAGGGTTAAAACTGCTTTCAACAGGAAAACATATGTCTTGTGAAGAATAGTAACACTGTGCTTTGTCTGTCTCTTGCTTCAGGTGCAAGACGGAACTTAAGAAATGATTTGCTGGTGGCAGCAGATTCTATCACCAACACCATGTCTTCTTTGGTAAAAGAACTAAATTCTGGTGAGTGAGGCTAACAAGGGTGGATAAGTCACCACATTGACATTTCACATATATTCGAAAAAATGGGGGGTAGGAAAATATAAACCAACAAAAAAGCAATGTAATGTATCTTCAAAGCTTTTTATGCATTTAGAAAAGAAATCCCTAAATAACAGCTTCAGGAATACAGCAGTTCTGAAAGCCGTGGACCTAGAGGTGCTGCTGGATACAGTGAAAACTTTGAGAAGTTTGTTTGTGATTCCACGTGGAGTGGGATTTCGCTCTTTAGAAATTTCATTCAATATAGAACATACAGGACCTGTTGTAAAATGCAGTCTGTAGTATTCTCATAAAAATATCCTACCTAATAACCAAGATAAGCAAAAGCTTCACTATTCTGTCCAACCGCAAGAAGAAAACTATTAGCTCTGCAAATATATGTAGAATATACTGTTACTCGCTATGAGGAGGAGGCATTCTAAGTTAGAAAGGCTTAGAGAGATAGGCAAGTATACTTACTCTTGTGAAAGTTAAATGGAACCGTGTGCCACCTTTTGCTTCACAGAAGTGGGCAGCGAGACAGAAAGCAATGTGGATTCTGAATTTGGACGGACTCATTTTGATGACCTTGTTCCGTCCCCAACGTCTGAGAAGGCTTTTCTCGCACAGATCCATGCCCGGAAGCCGGGGTACGTGCACAGCGCTGCTGCCACCGGCTCCATCCGTAGTGACATGTGGGTACCTGCTTGATTCACCTTCTTAATCTCATTCTTTTTTCTGTGGAAAACAATATGCAGCATGTAATATTTTCTCTCCCTCTCAACTATTTGATTACCAAAAAAAAAGCCTAAATACAAGTGAGGACAGCTTCATGGTTAGATAGTAGTGAGCTCTGTAAACAATAAAGGCCAGAACTGAGGATGCCCTCAGGAATGAGCTGTCTCACATCCAGTCTGGTGCACTCGGGCAGCATGGAGGCTGTGGGACAGCTTTGCTCCCTAATATGCCCTGCAGTCCTATTCCCTGCTTATCCAGACTGAGGAGCCTGTTGGACCCACTGGAAAAAGAGAAGTTTTTAAATGGAAAAGACAGAATGCTTTTTATTGACCAACTCAATTGATCAACAAACCGATTTATTTTTAGAACCTGAATCTTCCTATCAAAGACAATAGGCATCTTTCCAGTTATTTTTAGTTCAACCTCTTTGTATCAAGTTATTGAGAACTTTTGTTACTCATTTCCATAGGGCTGTACCCCAAAAATGCCTTCAGCAGAATACACCCTTTGGTCTACTTCATCAATACCAGACCACTGGAGAGGGGAAATAGCAGAAGTCTTTTCCACTGCCAGGAAAACACTGACCGATGGAGCATGTGGTTGGACTAAAAGTCTCTCGCTCTCCTCATAGCTTACAATAAAGGGAAGTTTTATTGACTCTGAATGTCATTCATCTCAGGAGGCTATTTATTAATAATTGTCTTTAGGGTTACAGAAGATGGAGACCCCTATGTCAGAGCAGATGATGAAAACTATGAGAATGACTCTGTCCGCCAGCTGGAGAACGAACTGAAAATGGAGGAGTACCTGAAGCAGAAGCTGCAGGATGAGGCATACCAGGTGGGAGAAGGACACCAGCTGCCCATACATCTCCATAAGTGAGAAACAATAATGCACCATAGCTGCCCGGTGCCCTTCTTAACCTGTCCTGGGCCCTGGGGCGTGATCTCTTTTCAGTTACTAGAGCAGCCACATTCCAAAAACTGCTGTTACTCTCTTCCACAGACACACATGCATCTAGCCTTTGTGCGTATCCAGGAAGACCACACTGCCTGAGGCACACAACAGTAGCCCTTAAGCTTACCAGGGCATCAGGTGGGACAGAATTGCCTCTGAGCTTGTTCTCTGCCGGTGCTTACCAAGTCACTTGGACCTCATAACCCCGTACCGTAGAGGCTGGTTGGTGGTGTTAAGCTGAGTTCTTGCTATATTTAGATTATTTTTTTTCTCCAGTAGCGAAAAACATTCATAATGGTTTCTCCAGTGTGAATTGAAGCTCAAGGGCAGTCTGTGTGTTATCGTTGTTGTCTGAATCTGGAAGGAGAGGAGAGGGTCTGAAATGAGTTGTATCCCAGAGGACCAAGTATTCAACAAGCATGTAGTATAGAGAAGCCTGGGGATTTATCATTAAACACCCCCTGAGGAAGTTTTCAAAGGGCATTTGTTTAAGAGTTTGAGTAAAGCAAATTTTCCAGGGGGAGCTGGAATTCTGTAGATACCCTGTCCTGTCTGCGTAATGCCTGGTGTAATGGACTATAGCTGGTTTTTAAGTTCTGACTTGGGTCATCTTAATACAAAAATCATTACTTCTTACAATGTTCGTAGTAATGTCAGTAGGGGGGCACACCCAGTTCAGTTATTTGGGAGCAGAGCTGAAGCAAACAAAAATAACTGTTTTCCCACATGGTGATCAATTAAAATTTGCAATTCACCACTACAGAATGTAACAGAGACCAAAAGTATAAATGGGCTAAAAAAAAGGATTAAGCAGGTACTGAGAGATCAGGTATGTGGAAATGAGGTTCAAAAGCACCTTCTGGGCAGGAATTCTTTAAGCTGCTGATTGCTGCGAGCTAACAAAATCTAGGTCCTTTTTTTCTGGTAGTTTTTCTCTAGTGTCCACTGCCAGTCACTTTGGAGAGAAGAATTTGGGACTGACAGGCTTGTGATCTAATGAAGAATGGCTGCTTTTTGGTCTTCTTTTCTGTAAAGCTGCTAGGATGAGTTAGTCTTGTAAAAGTTCATTGCCTCATATCAAAATTGCAGGTAGTTTTGAGGTTGATGTGAGCATCTTTTTTTGTTGTTGTTTACCTAGGTCTGCTACCTGCCCATGGTAGCCTGCCAAAAGTCATTTCATTGCAAAGGTCTTTAAGGACATCACAACAGGAGCAGAATTGTTATAGACGATCTACTAAGGCAACAGTGGGTGACATGGAGTTTTTTGTCACAATTCTTTACCAAGATAGGAAATGGCAAAAATGACAGCCTTTAAACTTGCTGAACAGGATGAACAGCCACTGCTGATGTAATGGAAAGTAATTGTCAGTTATAAAGAAGGAGTATGTCAATGGTGACAGCTGTCAAGCATCAAATAATAAATGTTATTATTGCTGGTAAAAATTCCATTTTCTCCAGAAAGAACAATAGACCAATTTGACTGTACTTTGATTACAGCATGGAAGTGCAATATATGGCAACAGAGTTACATGAGTTTCACAAGTTACAATGGGATTTTGTACAGGCACAAAATTGGGTATGCATGTGCACTGCAAAATATGGGCATTCATTATGTAGTAGAAGTTATACATGTCGCTCAATAGAACTGGGTGTTACTCTTGCTTCAGTCAAAATAGAGCTTTTCTACTGTCTTCTGACAACATTCCCAGAAGAAGGGGAGGAAATCTCCCTATCGATGTCAGAATAAAACTCCTTTTGAATTTAGGTCAACCAAGACTTGCACCCAGGTGAACCTTGTTCCCCATTGTTTTACACGATTTGTTTCCACCGGTGGGGGGTGGGGGTGGGGGACAGAAAAAGAGAAAAGCTTTTTTCTTTCAAAAATGTATTCACTGAATAAACAGAAAGTCCTCATTCTAGCATTTTTCCAAAAGAAATGTCATGATGCACTTCACTGCCTGTGAAATTGTCAGCTCCTATCAGACAATGATTTGACAGTAGTGACTTGTAAGTAGAAACTATTTTTAGTTGATAACCACAGACCCAAAGCATGCAACATGTGATAAGTCCTTCCCAGTATGGCTGATGCCCTTTCAATTAGGGAACAGGTTTAAACAAGCAAGAATAGGTATTGAGTTAGTAGGGATCACTAGGATGATTAGGAGATGGTTGGATAGTGTCATGTATTGATCCTGAGACATGTGCTTTGGCTTGGTTCTTTCTCTGCACTTTGCAGTTAATTTGTGGTATTTTGCTATTCTATTTCTTTTTCTACTAGTATCACCAAGTAGCCTCTAAAGATAAAGAACAACTTTCTACTTTCCAAAACAAAGGAAAATTGGGAAATTTCTCTTTAGGGTATCCTGTTGAACAGTGGCCAGGTCAACTATTCTCATTTTGCATCCAATCATTGGAATTTATTGCAGGCTATTTTACTATTTGTACTCACATGTACACTGCATTCATCTGGATAGCCAAAAAAAGCTGGTGGCTGTAGCTATCGTAATGCAATTGTCAGCTGAAAAAATCTGCGAGGAGGAACTCCTACTAAGGGTACAGAATGCTAACCTCAGTAACAATATGGTAACCATTTTTATGTTATTAAATGTCTCACTTTGTGTAAAAGCAGCACATTTAGAAAAACATGTAGATGTTGTGTAGCATGGAAGATGGTTGGTCAAAACCCACTCTTGTTATTTCGTGTCACCTTGTTTCCAAGAAAGATTTTCAAGCTGAACTCTAAATTAGTATTAAAGTATGAGCAGAAAACCCAAGATACACAAGGAAATCTGGGACAGGGAACCTCAAAGGAGGCTTCTTTCTCTCTCTTTTTTTGAAGCATGTTGTAAATAACAAGTATCTGTACCAGAAAAACACACATTTAGTGCACAAGTGTAAATGCTAACAGTGCTTATCCTCCCACATCTGCTACCAGTTGTGTTCTTGTTAGTTTTTTGCTGGATGTGTTGTGTAAGACACTTTTCATTGGGTTTATTTTCTGGGTCCATAATTGCTCCCTTTATTTCTAGGCTTGTGCATGGCTTTCTTCAGAATAATACACTGCCTGGCTGCTCACTGGCTTAATTTGTCATCTTCTTGTTTTCTATCCTTTGTTATCTACAGGTCAGTTTGCAAAGTTGAGTGCAATATCCTTCTCTCTCTCCTCTCAAGTAAGTATCATTATAATTTAGAAGAATGTTTGGAATGAATCCTCATAACGTGTATTTCAGTTGCAATGCACCTTGTGCTGCCTGTGTGTATGTGAAGATGCTGTTTCTTTCTTCTTTTAACCTGTGTTAGGATGCCTAGGAATGTCTCTAAATCATTTCTAATAATCTGTTTGAAATATGGTCCTAGTCCTGAAGATTCCTGTTAAGCCACCACCCTTTTTATCGTCTTCCTTTGTTGACCGTAAGAGTGAGAACGTGGGCTTTTCATCCCTGGGGGTGATGACAAATATATTAGCCAGTACAGAGAAAACTTATCCAGAAGATAAGGAATTAGATTGCATTTCAGGAGACCTAAGTTCAATTCCTTACAATGCTTTAGTTTTCCTAGGATAACTGAAATAAATCATTTCTGGTGCGACCGGAACATCTACTCCAGTGTGTGAAACAGGAGTTAGGCAGATGTTAAAGAAAGCAATCCACCAGCTGCTTAACCATAGAGGTGTCCTCAGATGTGTTGTGGAAGTTTAAAATGCCCCAGTCAAAAGTGCAGGGTACTCAGCTACTAGCTAGAGTCTGGCAATTCAGAGATAAGGCAGGAAGGTCTATAAATTCCCTGCTGGCCCATATTCAGGTCATGTTCCTTACACGTGCCAACCTCACAGTTGCAGCACTGAGTTTAATGCCAAGTTCAGCAATTGTGTTTTTCTTCAGGAACACAGACAATGGCTATTTTTATGAAGTAGCCTGTTATCCTGAACGTTTGCCCAGGAAATGGGAGACCACACGTTTCCTTCTTGCCTCATCTTGCAGACTCCGCATTTCTGACTTCCTAGGAGAGTGCAGTGCCCTGCTGTGAAGATGGCAGTGAGACGATGCTGTCCATCCTGCTGTGACACTGAACCATGGGGTAACAGAGCCAGAAGGGCAGAAGAAATCAAAATAGGGGTCTGACTCTGGTCTGCAAACTGAGTCTCTTCCTCAAAGCCAGAACTAAAGGCAACCAAAGGTTAACTATCAAATGGGCACTCCAAGTTGGGAGCAAAACCAGTGAACTAGCCTGTGCCAACTTTAGCAGGAATTCATGTTGCTAGGTTTTGTATGCCATGTTTTATGCTAGACCTCCTTATTTATATGGCAATTTTGATGGCAAAATTTGACCCTGATTCAAGGGGTTTGCAACTTCTGATGACAGTAGGATTTGGATGTTAAAGTGTGGATCTTGTGAAAGCAGCTGCCTTCAGTGTTAAAAGCCATTAGGTGTTTCTGAAGCATCTGTCTTAGTGTCTCTGGCAGCAAAAGCAGAATAAATGGATGTGAAAAGCAAATAAACGGCAATACCCAGAGTACTATAAACACCAAATAACTACTCATAAAAATTCTCCTAACATTGCCCCTCAGGTTACTTTCATTTTCTCAGTAGACTTGTAAAAACATGAGCCATGTAGAGTTTCCCAAACATTGACAGCCAGAAAAATAAGTTTTCTTCTATTTTGTTGCAGTTGTCAGTTATAGATCAGGTCACATGAAAAGGAAAATAGATCTGTCAACAACAATGTATGTGTGTTTAACTATGTATATAGTGGAAATCTTATATATAACTTCACCTATACCCACGAGAACAAACTCTGTATTATGGTACATTGTGATAAATACACATGATAAGCATGGCTTAGTCTTCTCAAGATTCACTCTTTTGTGAATATGGAAGATTAAAGTATCTTGTGCATTTTATTTGGTATTTCATAGCCTGGGAAAATTAAATCCAAAATTGTTCATACCAGTTGCAATGTCTAAAGTGCTTTTGCTTTTTACGTTGGGTTCTTGGTTGAAGCTTACTAATTGCATCAAGACTTTTACTTCTAAGATAATATTATTCCATCAATGATGTTACAAATACAGGCAGTGTTATATTGTCTAGATGGCCGTATGAGGTAGAAAGCCAACAGACTTTCTTGTCTTGCAACAGTATTACGTTTGTGCTTATTTAAAAAAAGGTAGGAAAAACAGGATCAGTTTATTATAGTTTCTTATGAATGATATTGCCACTGACGACCAGCCACCGAGTTTTGTTCAATTCCTCATTCATCAGTCAAGGACAAGTGGTGTTGATGTCATCTGATTAAAGCTTTTTGCATTTGCATTTTTAAAAGTGCTATGTACAATTCTCTGGAATTGATTTTGAAATAACATCTAGTATAACAAATTCCCAAGAGAGCAAGTTGTTCCAGTGATATATAAAACATAATTTAATCATGTTTTCCGTTTACTTTTTATCTTAAATGTACTTTAATACCACTTGTTTTACTTTTATTAGTGTGAATTTGAGCTTGTTTTCAGCAGGCTCTAGGCAGATCTTGAAATTAGGTGAACATGCAACTTTGACATTATTTTGCCTTTATTCCCCTGATAGCAGTTGCTTTTTTGCCAAGGATGGCCAATGGGAGCAGAAAGCCTCCACCTCTGAAAGTGGTTAAAAAGTTATCGTTTTCAATTAAAAGCTGTTGACTTGTGCAGTGGACATGTTCCCATGAGACCTACAATTTCCTAGATTTTCTAAAGCAACGCTTTCTTGGTGCTGGCATAGCAACATTTTCGTTGGTCATGTCTAATTCACTTATATGCATTATTATAACAGAAAAGGAGGTGTGAAAAGCTAGTAAAAATCAGACTTAAAGCATCCACTTGAGAGGGAGTACAGGGAGGAGTCTTTATTAGGGGTTTTATTCTCGATTTTTTTAGCTGTGATCACATTTTCTCTACGTTGACAAAAACATGTAATAATTCAAGTTGAAGACTCAGTTCCATTCCCACTCCAAACCCTTTCACTTGCTCTATACTTTATCACACAAATTGTGGGGTCTGGGCCTTTTGGTGGCCAGGGGTGACATTTTCGATTGCAAAAGAGACTTTGTATTGAAACAGGTCAAAATTTTTCAAACACAAAAACCCCAAGTTCTTTCAACTTTTTTATATGAATGCATTGTTAAAAAACTACTATTTGTTCAACTTGACTGTTTTTCCAGGACAGAGGTCTTATTAACACTTTCATGTTTTTCTTGTCTTTTCCCTTTTTCTCCAAACTCTGTTTTCATGTTTACCAGCAGAGATTAGGAATATTGCCAAATGTCAGGTGATAAAATCCGTGGGCCAAGGGAGGTGGTGTGGTCAGTCATCTGCCGGGTGTGCCGCTGTGAGAAGGGCTGTTGGTTAAGCCGAAGGGCACAGACAATTCATTTAAGTGCTGTGAAGACACAACTGCCCTGCATCTCTGTTTTTTTCTGGGAAGGAAATAAGATTTTAGAGCTAGCATGCATTTCACTGGCCCTTGACGTTTTCAGCCCTTTGCGACGTGGAGCTGGCTGTTTACTGTTTGGGAAAGATGGGACGCAGGATCTGTAGCCCAGGGCCCAAGATAACTAGCCCACAGTTAATGGATGTGTGGGTTTAAGATTTGCTGTGCCCACTGCCTGAGGTCGCATTTCCCAGCGGTGCCCTGGCCTCTCTTCGGCTGCAGGGCCCCAAACACTGCTGGTCAGAGTTGACTGGCTGCATTTAAAGCTCCTGCACTGTGGTTCATTCCTTGCATGGGCTTCATGCCGGGAGCTCAGGAGATCACAGAGGTGTAGGTGTGTTGGTTGGTTGGACCCTCGGGAGGTCGTCTCGTCCAGTCTCCCATCTGATGCAGGTCTAGCTCCAACACGAGACCATGTCAGTCTTGGCTTTGTCTAGCAAAGACTTTAAAACCTCCACGGATGGAAATTTCATCACCTGTCTGGGCATCTCCCTCCAGTGCAGTGCGACCCTCCTCATGGTTTTATTTTTTCCCTAATGTCCAACCTGAACCTCCCAAAATGCAATTTGTCCTTTTTGTGTGCTTCAGCACTGCCAAGAAGATTTTGGCTTTGTTATCCTTGTAACTACCCCTCAAATAGCTGCTACCTGATCCTCCCTTGCCACCTCTGCCCCAGCCTCAGCAAGCCCAGTTTCTTCAGCCTCTTCCTCCTACGTCAGCGATGCAGTGGTGAAGAAGCAGGATACAGGCACTAGATGAGCTGCCCACATTCATAAGTCATATTCTACTAGCACAACCAAAAGATTCAGAGTCTTTTTTGGGTTTTTTCTGAACAAATACATAAAAACCAGCATTATGTGGACCGTTCCATTTGAAAATAACAGCAGACTGACAGCACAGTAATTTTGAAAAATGCCTGCTACATTCACTCAGCTATATTTTGGTTTTCCTCTTTATTTTTCTCCTTAAGTCCTCCTCTTCTTAGCATGTGGGCGTAAAAAAGCTGTAAAAGAACTGTGACCGAGTTAACTGGGAAGAAGCAGCTTTAGTTTTGTGAATTTAATTCTAAAATTACACAAGTGATAGGGATGGTTTTTTAAAATCGCTGAATGATAAGTAACAGAAAAGAACCTGTGGATTAAGTTACAAAAAAGGTCGAGAAATGGTTTTATAACATGACAAATCATATGAGTCTTAACTTGGAATTACTTCTGGCATTTCCAAAATGCTGCAATGAATTTAGAGCTCTGATGTTCATTAGTAATCATTACTTCTTGTATGAAAATCTCTTTATCCCAATGCTGGCTGTGGAACAGAAAGAAGCCTTGAGAGAATTTAGAATAACCTCTCTGCACTCCACTGAGGAGAAGTAATTTATCCAGAAAATTCAAAGCAAACCAAATACTTAGCAATACTATCAATGGATCTTAATGCATCCAGTGTTTCACAAGCCACTCTTATTTTCCTCTTGTGGTTTATAATAACACCATCAAGAAATATGAGATGTACCTATATTTACATAACCCTGAAACTGGTTCAATAAAAATCAGTCTCAGGCAGCTGAGAACTGACCTCTTCCATGCCTTTCATTTGCATTTTTTGGCTGAATTGTGAAGAGCAAAATGTTGCTTTACTATGATTTCCAAATTAGTTTGCAGACTTAAGCGGTGCAGATGTATGTCTGATTTTTTAAAAATACTCGTTTAAAATGTACCTCCGAAATTTTTTGTGAACTCTCATTAGACATTAGAAAGGCAGCTTTCCTTTCCATATATCAACAAAATGTTAATGCTAAGTCTTGGTCTTTTGTAACTGTCTGTCACAAGGAGACACTAAATTAAGATCATCATACCATTTGGCATGCTTAGATATTAAGGAATCGGATGGAAGCGTTTGTGCTTGAATAATTAATACAATCAAATGGTGTCAGGAAGGAGAAGCTACCTGACCTTCCTTCGTTCATCAGCTTTAATTTAAGTCTTTTTTGCTGAAGTAATTTGCATTTCATCTCTCAACTTGCAGACCAGCTTTATGCCTGAAATGAGTAGAAAAGAATTCATCTCATAGGGTTTGGCCTTTTATGCTGTTATTATCAGACCTCATGTAACGCAAATTGGTCTTCTGTCTGAGGTAGTTCAAGAGAAAAAGGATGAGCTCCTTAACTTTGAAAGAGTCGAGTGTGTAAACAGTGCCTTTACAATAAATACGCCAAAAGAAGAAGTTTGCAATATTACCTGACTGTAGATCCTGACATAGTTCTGAGAAAGAGCAGCAGTCGTCTATCAAGCATTTTCTTTCCATTACCAGCTAAAACTTTGATGCCTCCAATATAGGAATTTAAGATACTTATTGAAGCTTCAGGATACAGAGGAGCACCAAGGAGAAATTGGTGCACCAGCAGATTAGGCTGTTTACGAGCACCCAGAATCATCCTTTTAAATAACTGCATTTCTTTTTAGACATAGGGAAATATACTTGAGCATGTAAATTAAGGGTGAGATGTTTACACGTGAGGAGGGGGCTCCTGATGGTGAGTGACTCTTAACGGTGTGACTGAACACTGTGCACAAGGGGAATAATCCATGGTTTCACTACCAACAATCTATTTATAGAGCAACCCGGAAGGGTAAAATGGAAGGGAAAATGGGAACATCTGCAAATCTCTTGTCAGTGCAGACCCAGTTACCCCAGGGTCCCACAGCAGAGCAGGCAACAGTCTTCTCACCTGTGGTAAGAAGAGTTTCCAACTTCCCAAGTGCCCTGTAAGTTTCTGCTTACAGCCCAAATAGCTATGGCTCACCTAGGTAGAATGGCTTTTTTTTAACTTTTTCAGGGATAACCACAGGAATTGGCCAGCTCCTCCTTTCTTCTCTCAATAAAGCAGCAGGCAGAGGCTTTACTTGCTCTGCCTGTGTGGGTGCAGCATCTTAAACCACCACTCCTTTTAAAAACCTTCCCTAAACATTTCTCAACAGGCAAGCTGCAGTCAGACAGACAACGAAAGCTACGTAAGAACTGATGATGAGGAGAGCTGCTTTCGGACAGATGATGAAGAAAACTCAGCTGCGAACTTCACAGAAGAGTGGAACCAAGAGGTGCAGCGTCTCTTGACAAAAAAATCACATAACTAAGTTCTGAGGACTGTAGCACAGTACTTTTGTTCTAAGAGTTGTAGTTTGTAGATGTGTGTTTTTGACAACAAGACTTTTGTTTAAAGCTAACTTATATTAGCTACATCTTCTATAACATGGCTCATTACCGGTGAAGAAAACAGACTGACGTACGTACTGCTGTTACAAAGGATGGCGGTATTAATAACTCACATAAACCCTTTGCACATGATATTGAACCTGTTCAGTTTACAATGACAATACTGTTTATAGATAGAAATTTGAGTTCTGAATACTTTGAGATTTTAGTAGATCAGTTTACTAAACACTGTACATTTTTTCCACAGAAGAAATAAAAAGCTACAATTATGCATTTAACACAGAATGATTATACTCCTGAGTGTATATACCTAGTAGCCCAAAAAACAAAGTACCAGACTATATTTGCAATTTGTTTGCAAGTCTTTAAATTAAGACTTATACAAAATGTACTAAAATAATAATAATACTATAATTAATAATAATAATAAAAACCTCTCTAATTTAGGGCTAATGTGTAACTTAGGAATGTTTCTTTCAAAATAATCTAACAAATCAGCCATAGAAGTTAGTGTAAATATTTTTTTTCCAAATAGATATCATATACAAAAGGTGACATTCAAATGATATAGAATCTAGTTTTTAAATCAGCACAGATCTTCTTAAAACTGTGAACTATGTTTTGAAATACTCGTTGCTAAAGCTGTTTATAAACCACAGGTGCCATAAGATCCCTGAACTGACTGATGTTATGTATAATCCTCCATGGTATTGTTTCATTGATGTTTTAGCTTTAGTAAGCATGTGTTCAACAAACCGGCTCTTTCCATCTCTCTGCCCCTCCTCCTCCCCCCCCCGTTATGTTATTTTCGAGGCCTTCAGCTTTAAATGTACAGGCTTAAAGTGCGCTTGCAACTGTTTTCTTTTTATTTCCGAATGTGTATTGCCTTAGCCAGCCACCAGATGTTCTGCATGCACTCTTGGAAATGTGTAGTGAGACTCTTTCGGAGCTGGATGGAGAAATAGCTATCAGTGAAAAGCACAGGAGAAGCAGTGGATTTTTTCGAAAGGACAGGCGTACAGTTACAGAATTGGAGTTTTGGCCGATTTGGTATTTTTCGAGTATAAAGGCATTTCAGGAGAAAGGGGACTTACCTGGCCATTTTGAACTAGGCAGTGAGACTGCTAGCTAAAAAGGGTTTGCTCTACTGTGACTACAAACCTACAGGTACTCCTGAGCAGGGATTGACACAAACGAGCTGGAATGTCCTCCCCACAGCATATTGCTTGGAAATAAAGGTGACACCTGTGCAGCACATAGCACTGCCGTGCAGAGAAATCAGAGCCAGGCCGAGAACAGCTAGACCAGAAGCCGGGCAGTAACACAGTGCAATGTTACATGCTGGCCGGACAGCCCTCCTGGGAAGCGCAGTGTGTTAGCTCAGGACGACCTCTGCGCTAACGTCATTTTACTGCCCTAATACAATATTACATACAGTATCTGGCTGACCTGAAGTGACACTAGCAGCCCTGAAAACAGTAGCGTTTCATACAGATATTTCACACCAGCACAGTTTGCCTGCAGCAGGTGATGAGATGATACCCATCTAAAGCAGGTGAACATGGTTTGTCTGTCCTCGCTTTTATGGTGATGTGGATGTGCGCTGCCTTGTTTACATGAGATTGCTATGTAGCTCGGCCCAGTAAGTCCACTTGTTTGCATGCACTCTTTAGGCTCGTGGCTGTTTCCCTGGGCACTATGTGCTAGGGAATGAGTATCTGTATGAAAAAGCTGCTGCCATTTTTCACTTTCATATTGTATTACTGCGTATGCAGATCTCTTGTCCGCACCTCCTTGCATATCTGGGCTTGGTCTCAGACATCCAAATGCATACTAAGGCATCCGGATATCTTCATGTAAGCTTTTCATTTTTGCAATCACTGGTCTTTGCTCCTGGGGTATGTGCCGTCCTGGCAAGGCAGGCACCATATCCTCCGATGCCCCCTCCTCCAACCTCCTCTCAGGAATGGGTGAGCCTCCACTAGTGCCTAGCACACCACATTTAAAGCTACTCCAGTGAAGCTGTAGATGTTGCTGTCAGCTCAGGATTCCAGGCAAGCATTTCCTGAACAGAGATAAAACAAGCTAGAACACAGCTACATGCAATGGCTGACTAATTCAACCCATGTTACATTTAACTGTACCCAGAGTAATAGATCCCTCCCATCATCTTAATGTCTGTGTGCTCATTATCGCTATGCTTAAAATAGATGCAATAGAATAAATCCATTGCAAGGGCTTCCGGACGAGGAGTAAGGAAAAAAGTTGACTGATCAAGCGCCTTTCTCTCAGGCTGGTGTCAACAAGCTGATCCCCAGCAGAGCTCTGGCTCCCTTACGCCCTGGAGCTCTGAGATGAAGCACCTCTTACTTGGCTCTCCAAATATCTATTTTAAGCATTTTCCAACTGTTAAGCTGGCTGCGGTTTTGCCCAGCTGGTCTTTGTCTGCTTGTTGAATATTATTTTGGTTGTGGTTTGCGGTCATTAAAACAGAGTTACAGAAGAGGTCCCTGGTGTGGGCCTTTTCTTAACTACCAATGGCCCACCACAGCAGTCAAAACTCCGGGTGGTTTTGATGTCACTGGAGGGAAACCGGTGGTTTGGAATCAGGAGACAGGGATGTGATGATGTATAGGGTCCTCGAATGTCCAAAGCGAAGGTGGAGAATGGGTTGTCTGTAAGTAGTAATGTTAACTAAACTGCATAAAAAGGTGTGTGGCCTTCGTTGTGATATAATATGTATTTTCTTATATGCATGAGCCAAATTGTTGCATCATAATTTATCATAAGTGTGTCCGCCTTTACTTTCAGTCATCTTCTCCCATCCTTATTAGTTCTTGGCAATTACTGTAGATAGACCTTGTAAATATTGCAACCTTGGGTTGCTGTAATCACGTTGGTTCAATTCAGCAGACGGAGCTGTGAACAACAAGTACTCCACTGTGTCCTGAAGACAAAAGGGCATTTTTACCTTTGAACCAAAAAAAAAAAAAAGTGTGAAGAGGCTACTACATCTTGAGGCTACTAACTGTACATTTTTAAAACTACTGTACTTGACACCACTTGAGACAGATACTGAGACACTAAAGATGTCACGATATTCATTGGTATTGTAACAGAACTGCTATTGTATGGGTTTTTTGTATTGCTGTTAAGTATTGTTTTGTGTGTGTGTGTTGGAACCTACTGGGGACATGTTATATTTTGAAGTGATTAAACTATTTAATTGTGTGTCTATATTTTGGAATGGAATTATTTCTTCATTAAAAAGATTTTTAAAAGTAATTTATGGAGCATCATGTTTGTGGCTTATTTTGGTTTTGGAAGTCCTGTTCCATGGAGTGGAAGCACAGCGTTTTTTCATTAGGAAAGGAAAATGTTTCCCCGCGGCACAGCAAGCAGTCTTTGCTTCTCCCACACTCTCTCCTCCACCTCTGTGCGAGAGATCTCCTTCCAGCGCTTTCCCCAGTGCTTCGAGCATGGCACCGAGCAGCACCTGCGTTCCAGTGGCCCAAGCAGTTTCTTCTTTCTTCCTGGTCCTCAGGAACCTAAACCAAAGCCCTATCTGTCTGCAATACTGTAATTATTCTTACCCACTGTGTTTCTCTCTCTGTCCTTAGAAGGAGCAAAGCCTTGGAAGAGGTGCATTTTAATGGCTTTGCCATACACAGTCACATGTTATCTTTTATAGCAGAAGGACATGACGTCTTTATTTTTCCAATTATACTTTTAAGGTGTCTTTGCGTATCAGGTGTTGGTAATTACAACTGGTTGCTAACCTAGAAGAGCACGGAGCTGCAAAGCAAGAGCTCTTACTTAAAACAACAAGTTTGTGTCCCGGTGAAGTATACCTCCAGCCGTGGCAAAGACAGCTAGGAGGCAATGCCCGGCTGTGCCTTTCGTGCCCGTGGTGCTGGTGGTCCTCCACAGGGCAGCTTGCTGAGGGAATGCTGCTGCCCCGAGGTGGCAGGCCTTTCCAGCGGACAGACTGCAGCCGGCCATCGCAGAGCGTGTCCCTGGCAGCTCAGCGTAGCTGAAACGTCCCCGGCTGTACACATGACATTGCTAACTGGCCAATTAATTACACCGGGATAGAGTCACTTAGAAGGAAAGCAGTAGCAGCACACCAAAACCATCCTCTAATACTTACGACATAGTTAAATATCCCAGTGTCTTGGGAAGCAGATAAAAGCAGGAGGAGTCTGCTGCCTCCTTCAACGTTGACTGCTGTGGTAACCTATAAATCACCAGGGTTTATTTGCCCTAATTCCCCTGTCTACATGGTGACGTTCTTCAATAAAGACGATCATTTTACACTGTAAATTATGTGCCATATCTGCTGAACTTTGCCTCCACAATCCCAGTCCAAATTCATATCCGTGGGATTGTAATATATGATGACATATCGTCAGCTCATGAGGATAACTGTTTTATCCATGCATAATCCCAAATTGCTGTATTTCTTCCTAACCCGCAGTCAGCCTATGGCCTTTGGGGAGCAAAGGAGCCAGTGAAAACTAATTTATAGGCAAAGGCTGTTTTCTTCTTTGCCTCTTGGTTACTGTAGCTACCTTCTGATCCCCACAGGAAAAACAAGACTCATACGGAAAGAAATAAATTAGTTTCATTTGCAAAAAGAAATAAAATAAAAATAATTAAATAAAAATAATGAAATAAAATAAATAAAATAAGTGGTCTTTAGATCTGAGGAGTTGGCACCTTGGCTGCATCAGTGCTGAACTAGGTGACAGAAAGCACCTGGAACTTTCTAAAAGCACCTGGGAGTTTCATGCAGCAGCACACGGATCTATGGCAGCTCTTCCAAAGTTGGCTTGGGAGGTCTGTTGCTCAGCAGTTGCTTGCAAGCAGCCCTTACTTCCGAGTGAAACCTTTTAAGAGAATATCGCAGGAATATGAAGCGGAGTCTATCGCAGAAATAGGTTAAGTGGGGTGGGAAGAGAAATCTCCTCTCTTGTTCCACGATGAAAAAAATGCACTGAAGAATTTCGTATGCTTCAGGATCATCCTGTCTAAAACCCCAGATAATCCACAGATTAAGGATTCCCCTTTGCTTTCTCCTGAGTGATTGCCACCAGTTGAGTTGTCTGTGGGCTAGGACAGCTATCCCACACTGCCAGCACAGCAACAACACGCCTTTGGCTGCAAAAGGCAAAGGGGCAGAATTAGGCTGCGCCTCTCACCAGCTTCCCGTTCCCCCGAGAGGGGTACAAGGCAACGATGAACAGGTCCCAGACTGGAGCAAGCCTTTCTGAGGGCCCACAAGTCTGGAGCTTTCTAGAAAAGGCTGTTTTGGGGAAGTGATCTCCCAGGACAAGGCTGGGGGAACGTGCAGAGGGGAGTAGGGGAATCGTGCAGCCACAGCATGCAAACTTTGAGATAAGATGGTTAATGCAGCTTGAAGATAATAAAGACTAAAAAGGTAAGCAATGTGAAAGAATAATTGCTTTTTTGGAAGGAAATGGAGGACGCCACGGCACATTTTGTCATTGGTATGCGACGTTGCAGAATGTAGTTTACTATTTAATACAACATAATTTACCACTAGCAAATTCATTTCCTCATGACTTACGTTTTTTACATAACACTCAGCGGTGGCCAGATGGCAGATGTGTTAGGCCTGCTGCTTGTTATGCTAATTGTCAGCCGTAAAGGCCTCCTGGTTAACGTTTCTTCTCCTCTGCTTGTTACAGCCCAGCATTGCGTGCAGCCTGCGTGTTCTCTGAGAACAGAGGCACCCTGTGAGTACACGTTTTGAGTGGTTTTCTTACT